CCAGAATTTTGTAGAGAAAAATGAGCTGGGGCATTTTTGCGTCCATTCTCAAGGTTTATACTGAAGGTTCTGGTAAGGAAATCTCAGTTTGGACAGTTTGTAGAGCGGGTATTTGGCAAATTTATTTTGAACTCCTTCTATACTTCTAATCTGGTATACGTAACTTGGAGTCCAAATTGGGCTGCAGAGTATTCAAGTATGGATCGAATGAGACTGTAATATAGACAGATAACCCGACTTCGTATCACATATTTCGGGCGAACTCTTTTATTCATCAATAGATCCATCTGCTGCCAGCATTATCAGACAGCTATTCCGATTTTCTATGAACTAAAGAAAGATAGACAGGTCATCGGTGAATAAAAGAAAGCGCCCTATGTCTCTGGTGATTCGTTTGATGAAACCTAGAAGTCTAGAGGTAGAGTGCCCGTCCACAGCTGCGAATAACTTCAAGTATTCAGCGTATGGTAAGCAGAGGGATGATTGGGAGCATTGGATGACGTCATTTATAGAAAGAACAAACAGAATCGGTCCGATGTGCGATCCCTAAGGGACCCCGGATGCAACTTTGAACAGGAGTGGCTTTTTCCTAACAGAAACCGTGCTGTACGTTAGCAATATAGTAACTAAAGCACGAATACACGTTGTCTGTTAGAATGGATTCCATAATGTTAGGAATGTGCTATTGCACTAGTGATTTTTGCAGATTTTAATCATTTTTGCATGCATTAACGTAAGAAAAAGCTTTCAAATTTAATTTGGAGCTTCAAATCAACTTCAAATTAACTTTTCCACAAAGAGGAAAGTTCAATTTATAAATCCTGAAACTTTCAACTCACTGTGATCATTTAGAAGTACTTTGCTCAAGTGATTTTTGCAGATTTTTATAATTCTTGCATGCATCGGCGTGAGAAGAAGCTTCTAAATTTAGTTTGGAGTTTCAAATTACCTTCTCCACAAAGAGGAAACTTCAATAAAGTTTTTTTTTTTTTTTTAAAGATAATTCCCCAAGTCAAAAATTTAGTAACTATGTTGCCAACACAAGCATTTTCTACATAAAAAAATTGACCTTTTGCTTGAACGCCATATTGCGGTGCGCGAACATAGTTGCCAAAAGAAGAAAACAAAAATTGATCCTCGTTATCCTTTTTGTTTGTTTACTTTCTCTCTCTGATTCTATAAACAATGAAGCCTAACGAAACCGCGAAATTCGCTCTTTTTTGACATTGCTTCGACAATTTGACGTTTTATGAATGAATCTGTGGCATGCAATGAACTATAACCAAAAGCTGGAATGCGAACACATATTGACGAACGTGAAGTCTAGTGCCGCTGCTGCGGAGGGGATACCTGTTTTTGTCGCACTCATTATGTTAAATGGCGGAAATTGCTTCCAACACGTAAAATCTGTTTTTTTTTTTAAAGATAATTCCCCAATTCAAAAATTTAGTAACTATGTTAGCAACACAAGCCTTTTCCACATAAAAAATTGGAAAGCATTGACAATTTTACATTGTATTGCCCACATAATGTCATTTTGACTTTTATCTTTAAAAAAAACACAGACTTTATTCCAATTAGTTGATGAAACCTGTGAAGGTAAATATGACAAAACTTTCCAAAACGTCATATGTCAGCGAGCAACAGAAAAAAACAACTTTCCCCTTTGTGGCATCTGTCTTTCATGGCTACATTTTTTTGGCAGATATGGCAATGTGTGCGCATTCCAGTTTTTGACTATAATTGACCTTTTGTTTGAACGCCATATTGCGGTGCGCGAACATAGTTGCAAAAGTAGAAAAAAAAAATAACTAGCGTACTGTCAATATTACAAACAAAAGTTACTGAATAAATTACATTTAAAATTTGAATTTGCCGCCTATTACGAATGTTTTTGAAAAGAAAAGCCATCAATTTTAGCTTGTATTGGGCAGAATAGAAATAATAGAATATCTACCTATTTACTTTCATCAATCAGAGAGAGAAAGTAAACAAACAAAAAGGATAGCGAGGATCAATCATTTAGCTACTTTTATTTTTAATGTTGACAGCCCGCTAGTAATTTCTGTTTTCTTCTTTTGGCGACTATGTTCGCGCACTGCAATATGGCGTCCAAACAAAAGGTCAATTCATTGGTGGCATGAATTAAACGTCCAATTGTCGAAGCTATGTCAAAAAAGAGCGAATTTTGCGGTTATGAGTACTAGGCTTGAGAAAGGAAACCGAAATTTGGTAAAGTGAACAGGTAGATATTTTATTATTTCTATTCTGCCCAATAAAAGTTAAAATTGATGGCTTTTCTTTTCAAAAATATTCGTAATTGGCGGCAAATTTAAATTTTTTCTACTTTTGGCAACTATGTTCGCTCACCGCAATATGGCGTCCAAACAAAAGGTCAATTGAAAGCTTTGACAATTTCACATTGTATTGCCAACACAATGTCATTTTGACTTTTATCTTTCGGAATTCAGCACTCATAAATTTCGGGGGAAGAGCGGGGGGGTTAGCCCCAAACCCCCCCCCCCCCCCATCGAAATTTAGCACTGATACAAAGCATTTACAGGCAAAAATATTTTTTCTTGCGATTTTGGTTAATACCTACAAACTTTCCATTTATATCATCATGAAAAACCCCCATCCAAACAAAATCTGGGTGAGCCACTTCACTTGGGTGCGCAGCCAGTGCTATACTGATTTGTGGATGGATAGGGGAAGTGTTGAGATTTTCTAACTTCTGGGAAAAATGACAATATCGAAAGAAAAGCTGGAAAATCTGCTTCAGAGGTTCTATTAGAAATGTGCAGCAGCCTTTAAGAAACACTAGGGAAAGTCGGGAGAGGCCATCCGGTCCAAAAGTCTTTGAGGCATATCGAGATCCAGATATAGAATTCTTCCCTGTATTTCCTGAACCGTGAAGAGATGATCGGAGCAGAGGTTTGTTTCAAAAGGGCCCGAGTCTTCTTTGATCTCAGTTCTCAACATCCTTGTGGCCAGAGTAACGATTCTTGAAGTGTGTGGCAAACAGTTCAGCCATCTGTTGAGGGTTCGAAGAACGGATATTGTTGAAGTGCATCTGCAAGCCTGCATCTCTCTTTAAAGATCTTATAATTGACCACATTTACGGATTTAAATGCTGAGTTTTAGTAACATGTAACACAAAGTTCCTACACTCTACTAGGCAAAGTCCGTCGATTTTAGTCTGATACTCGAAAGAAATGTGAGCTGGTGGCACCCCACATAAGAACGCCAATGGTCAACTGACGTCACACCTGTTTATAGAGTGTATGAACCTTAATGTAACAGGTAGCACACATTTCACTATGGTACTTCACGTCTTTCCGGGCTTCAGAGTAAGCTTCATAGTCCGCTTGCCGACTTAATCATCTGTACTTCTTATAGAGTCGATTTTTATGTGCAAATAACTTTTCTAGCTCAGAGACTCAGAGTTGAACCAATGGGGATATTTTTCGACCCTGATGGTTTTTTTGAGAACATACTGATTAATTCCTTGCTCTATAACTTCGTGCAAACTAGTGACTGCTTCGTTAAAGACACTATTACTTCAACACAGAATCCAGTCCAGTCAATACTGTTGAAGTAATTGTCCAGTTCCGTATAGTTCGCTTGTTTAAACAGGTAGATAGATAGTAGTAGGATCTTCGGCTTTCAGCGTTTGTCTACTATCGTATGATAAACTGAGGTCCAAAGTTGGATGTATATCAACTACCCTACACAGGGAAAAGTTACAGGTTTTGATCACAGGTAGGGAAAGTTCAGCTGCGTAAGTAAGATCCAGGGATCTATTAGCTGTTCTTCACATTGTCAAGTTGCTGAAGTTCCATGAAGAACAGCTATCTATCAGAGTTTGCTTGGCCAAGGAGTAAATAGGTTCCGGCACCAGAAAATCATCATCTGCGATCCAGTTGACATTGGGAAGATTGAAGTCGCAGAATGTGATAAAACTGGCATTAACACATTTGTTTTTCAATGATTCACATATTTGTTCCAAATGGCCTGTTAAGTCATCTTAGGAGAATTTCGAGGCATGTATGCTGATCCGATCACCATCTCAACAACCCTGACACGTGAAAGATACACCGGATCTATTAGGCTGTTCATTTGTACTTGCTCTAACTGCTCGAACATTAAAAAGATCTGCTAAGAACTGCTATTTATGAATTTTCAATATATGAGACAAGTGAACGCCAATCTGCTTGAAGCACGAGAAGCAGTACAAATGAACACCCTATATATTCGCTCTAATTCAATTAAATGAAGTTTGCAAACGGTTTAATCGAAAAGTTGCTCTCTAGCGCTATTAAAATTCCCTTTCTTCGCGATCATATTCCCGATCGGCTCAGAATATTGACATAATTCTACTGTCAAATTTTCAAACAAAATTTGCATACAGTTTTTCATATACAGGGTTGTCGTTATGTATGGAAACGTTTCCAACGACAACCCTGTAAAGATTCATTTAGTTCTTGGTAGGACACCCTGTATACTTCATATGGGAAGGTTAAGAATGAACGGAGAGTTTTGGAAAGTTGTCAGACCATGGAGAAAAGAAACTTCTAAGGACATTATAGGATCCACTTTTTTTCTATTTAAAATTCTGTGCTGCTATCTATATATTTCTAACTGCTAAAATCTCCTCTATCGTTATTATCACATATTATCAAAATGAACTTACCTTCTTATTATACTTCTGGCTAGTTCATCTAACTGGTTTTAGACAACTTTGCACTTTTTCTATTTTTTCTATCGCTAGAAGCCCGTTGTTGGTGTTTGATATTTCGATCTTCCCATACATTTTTCACACACTCTTTACTCTTCAGTAACCGTTTCTCGAGCTTCGCTATCTATAACCTGTTCAGCTAAGCTAGAGGACCAAAATCCAGTGGCATGCCAATTTTTTTTTTTTTTAGTTGGCCGCGTATTTGAGTCTATAACGCATCATTATTCACCATTCCAAGGAAAAATTGAAATCAAGCACAAAAATTAAATTGAAAAAAAACTAATACGTATATTCAAATGCAACTAAATATTATTACTATATTATTAAGAACTAAGATTTTTGCCGTTACAATAAGTCTCCAGCACGCTCATCAACTGCAACCGAACCTCTAAATTAACATCATCGGGCAATTTCTTCATAAACGGCAACAAGGACAACAAAAACCTCTTGTTACCCAAAGGATCGTCGGATCTATCTTCCTTTTGAAAATCCACCAGTTCCTGCAAACACGAGGCGACTTTTTTCATTGGCGGCTCGTCACCGAACGAATTGAGGTCAATCGGTGTCAAAGTAGGCATAGTGAATTTTTTCGGTTGAATTGACACGTACTGTACCTGCTGCGCTTGCGACGTTGTTGACACTTCTATGGGGTCGATCGTTATGTTGGCTTTGGAGTCTTCGTGCGAGATTACCGAATTTGAATCGTTGCTGTCTTCTGACGCAATTGTTTTATCCCTAGAATACGAATTGTTGATGATATCGCCATTTTGTATTTATGTAACGAAACTACCTTTTGGCTATGAACGGGCCCAAAAATGACAGCATGTCATGAAAAATGTACTTTTTAGTAGGCGCGGGTATTAAGCCTGCTTTGGATTGTTCCAGGATCCTCAGTTGACGCGAATAGTTGTCGCGGAGCGATTTCCATTTGATTTGTATGTCTTTGACTGAAAAAAAAAAACCTTTGACAATGGATGACGTATTTATTTTTGTCATCTTTTTAGTCGATTTACTCCGAAATTTTGACAGGCAAAATTTCGGAGCAAATCGACGAAAAAGATGATAAAAATGAACACGGCTAATATTATAAATTATTGATGATTTTTAATTTTTAATTTGGATGTTGGACTTTGAATAAAACTACTGGTTACAGTTAGGATATTATTTGTCAATGTCAACTATGTCATGTCAAAATTGAAAATAGGTGTTTTCTCGCGTCTCAAGTAGATTAGGCAATCTCATGATCTGTCAAACGAAATTCAATATGGAAGTTCAGGTCAGACACCGTGTTGTGTACATTTAGGTTACTAATAGAAATCAATGAAAAATTACTTATTTTGTCACATTCTGGACATTTAGGTTTGACATTGGCTTTGTCCACAGAACACATATCCTCACGGAGAATATGTATTCTGTGAGGATATGTATTCTGTGGCATTATCATATTGTCATCTTTGGCTTTAATTTTCTCGGGCTGCTTAGAGAAATATTTGAAAAGAAATGTTCTCTTTTTTAGAGCCACCTTATTCCTTTTACGGCCCGGCCGCATAGAGGTAAGTAACACCCTGTTTAGCATTCGGCAATCCGTTCGACAACGGTTCGGTTTTTTAAATGTAACACCCGTGGTTGCATGGATGTGCGCTTTATCGGGTGTTACTTACCCTTGGTATTAGATAGGCCTATTTACTATTACCATCTTGTAAATAATTATTTTAGGGCATTTAAATTTTAAAACATGAGTATATAATAATAATAATAATAATAAACGTCTTTATTTGCATATTCATACATTCATAATATATAATATAATATAATATATGATTCACGCATACAGAACACAGGTGGCGAAGTTTAGCCAATGGCCATTCTTCCACTCAACCATCTGTGCCCCACATTGGGCCAACATTTTAAAGGTAAAACAAAAATAACAGGTATTGTAGCATCTATCATCTATATAGGTAACATTAGCTATTTTGTAACAATCGCTTCTTATATTCTAGTCTCAGTTTATATACACTGTATTCTCTGAATGGCAAATTAACTGAGTTCAACAGTTTTACCATACAATAAGAGAAACTTCTCTGAAATAGTGAAGTTCTGTGTTTAGGCACTGTGAAAGTTGTACCATTTCTTAAGTTTAAACTATGAACATTATGTGCATCAGCTCTACACTCTATTTTTTTATACAAATATACAGGCTCCTTACAATCTAATAATTTTTTAAAGAAAATCAATGAATATAATTTATACATATTATCACATTTCAGCCAACCAATCCGTTTAATATTAACTGACACAGAATCATATTTCCTCAAACTAAAAACAAACCTACAACATGTATTCTGTACATATTGGATTCTTTTTTTAGTGACTAAATCTAGAAATGGATAGTAGACTATAAAACAATAGTTAAAAATTGATAATACAAGTGCTTCACACAATTTTTTTCTCATTTTAAAATTAAGTATGTACCTGCTTGTATATAGGAGCTTCATCTTAATATAACTATTTTGCAGCAAACTTTGTACATGTTTATGAAACCTTAGATGAACATCCAGGTGTAATCCCAGATTTTTGGCACAGTTGGAAAAACCAAGTACATCAGTGCCAATCTGTATTTTCAAACGATCAGTCAGAAAGTCTCGTAGTCTTTCGGAACAGAAAAGGAGAACTTCTGTCTTTTTAGGGTTAATATTAAGATTATGTTCTGTGGAAAACTTTACAACCCTCTCCAAGTCCTGGTTTAACTCCATTGCAGCATTTTCAGGGTATAAGGGATCGAAATTTAATAGAAGCTGGGTGTCGTCGGCATATGCTTGCAAATGAGAGTTTGAGACCACCGAGAAGATATCAGATGTATAGATAACAAAAAGCAGGGGACCAAGAATGGACCCTTGGGGTACTCCAGAAATCACAGTTCGAGGTTGTGAGAGATTATCTTTAATTCGTACAACTTGGGATCTATTGTATAAATAGGACCTAAAGAATGAAGTAGAAATCTCATCGAAACCATAAAAAGACAGTTTGGCACACAATAGGTCATGGTCGATCAGGTCAAAGGCCTTTGAATAGTCCAGAAGCACTAGTATGGATGCCTGTTTTTCATCTAGAGCTCGAACAATGTTGTCGGTGATATTGAATAAAGCCGATGTTGTGCTACGGCCTTCTATGAAACCAGACTGATGGATTGGAACCAAACTGTTATTCTTCAAAAAATTTGAAGCTTGCAGTTGAACAACCCTTTCTAAAACCTTAGACAAAACTGGTAGCAAACTAATTGGGCGCAAGTCAGTGACACCAACAGGGTTTTTCACTTTGGGGACTGGAGTAACCACTGATTTTTTCCAACATTGTGGAAAATATCCCATTTCTAGACAGCAATTTAATATGTGGGTAACATGATTTACAATTATGGGGAGGCACAACTTGAGGATGAAGAGTGTTAAGTCATCACTTCCTGCTGCATTAGACTTAATACTGGCAAAGCTTTTATATACAACACTTGGACTCACCAGAGTAAATGTAAATCTAACATTTTCCTTGCACTTATTGCTGTTATGTTTATGTTTATTAACGGACTTGCCACTTTACTAAATCTACTTATACAAAATACACTTAAAACAAAAGACTTAAACTAACACAATTACTTGAACTTTGATTACATTACATTACAATAAAATTTTCTTAACCTGTTGAATAAAACTAGGGTTTGAGCAATTGAAAACATCAACATCATCAGCCACACAGTTCATCTGGCGGCACATTCTCGTTAAAGCCGAATTCTGGCCATAGTTAGTACGATGGTATGGGACAGAAAATAAATTTCTACTTCTAGTAGTTCGCTGGGGAACCGCAAGCCCAACACCTTCTAAAAGATATGGACAATCGACAGTGTTGTTCAAAAGTTTAAATAAAAATCCCAAATCAAGAATTAAACGTCTTGTTTGCAGCGATGGAAGCTTTAGTAAAGTTTGCAATTGATTATAATCAATTTGTTCTGGTGGGATTTTTAGTTTGTAAGCAACAAGTCGAAGAAATCGCTTTTGGACCCTTTCAAGCAAGTCTATGTAAGTAGAGTAGAAAGGTGACCATACCTGTGACCCATATTCCAACGTCGATCGCACAATTGCACAATACAAAGCCTTAAAACATTCAATATTATTAAAATCTTTCAGGGTTCTGCCAATAAAACCAAGTAACTTTATTGATTTGTTATAAATGCTCTCAATCTGTAGATCGTATCTTAAGGGACTATCTAATATTACTCCAAGATCTTTATGGAAAATTTCAGCGGATAGTATTTCATTTTTTAAAGAGTAGTCAAATATAATTGGAGTCTTTATTCTATGATATCTCATTACCTGACACTTAGAAACATTCAGTTCTAATCTATTTCTTTTACACCAATCCAAAAACGCATTGAGATCTTTCTGGATCACCTCACAATCGTCTAGTTCCTTTACTGTTTTATAAAGTTTTAGGTCGTCTGCATACAAGAGATAATTACAGTTTTCAATTTCATAATGGATATCATTAATGAATAAGTTGAACAGTAGAGGTGATATGTGACCACCTTGTGGAACACCAGATGTAACATTTATGGTCGAGGAAGTAGCATTATTTATTTTTACCACCTGCTGTCTGTTAGTTAAGTAACTGGTTAGCCAATGGAGTAGTGGTCCAGAAATGCCAAACTTTTCCAGTTTTCTCGACAAAATGACGTTATAATAAGATATTTTATTATTGCATTTATCAGTTTTGTTGAAGACGCTGCAAAAATAATCATTAATGTGATTGGCATCAGCAAAATTGGTTTGAAGGTAATTACTTTTATTAGCATAAACTTGAAAATCTTGCAGTGTTTTCCACAGTTTACGAGCATTGTGTTGACCCTCAATAAAAGTTAAATATGCTAATTTTTCACGGCGAATAGCAGCCTTTGTCAAATTTCTTAGGCTTTTATAATAGTTACGATTTTCTAAAGTATTACTTGCTTTGACCCTAACTTTAGCATTGTCCCTTTCCTTCATTAAGTGTTTAATTGCTGTTGTTAACCAAGGGGCAGGTGGCTTGGTTACCCTGACAGTCCTACAGGGAGCATGTATTGAGAATAACTCCCTTAGATTTTCAGTCATAAAATTAATCTTATCATCTATATCACCAAAATAATACAAATCATCCCATTGGAAGCGCCCTAAATCATCCAAGAACAATTGATTATCAAAATATTTGAAATCTCTAAAGGTTACTAGTTTTGGAATCTTTTTCTGACTTTGAATTTTTATGTCGCAATATGTTAACATATGATCACTTATGCTGCTTGCATCAATTGTACCGCAAGCCTCAACTATATCTCTAGTATTAACAAAAATTGGGTCCAATAATGTAGCGGTTTGATTGCAAATCCTAGTTGGCTCATCAATAATTTGGGAGAACCCGAAACTATCAAATAATTGGCTAACAGGGTTCAAAATATTAAACATGTTGACATTTAAATCCCCAAGAACTATAATATAATTATCTACAGGTAGAATTTCAGGCAAGAATATATCCAGTGCTTCAACACAGGCTAAAACATTATTACCAGTACGGTATATGACACCAACAGCCATTGTGTTATTGTTACATAATTTAATTCTTATCCATAAATATTCAAACCCTGGTTGGCCGAGTTGACAATTGTATATACTCACATTGCAGTTCAGATTTCACATATAAACCTATACCACCTCCTCTTCCCATCGCTCGGTCTTGCCTATAAAACCTATATCCCGGAATGGCCACTACTTCGGATGCTGTATTGTTCTTCAACCAAGTTTCTGTCACACCAATGATGTCAAGATCCTTAGTTTGTAACAAATTCTTGAATTCGAGAAAACCAGTGAAAATCGACCTCAGGTTTAGATGAGCAAGATTTAAGAGAGTCTTTTTTGCATGTTTTCTTGTC